CTCTCTCCTCTCTCTCTCTCTCTCTTGTGGTCTTTGTGCCAAAGGCCCCGAAAAGTTGGTTCTAACGGAGATGCTGTCGTCAGGCATGGGTCTTGCAGTCCGGCTGAGCTTGATCTGGTTTCGTCTGGAAGGTGATACTCTGCTGTGTGGATTAGCTGGGGCATGGGCGCGAGTCTGAGTTACAGTTGTCGCATATCGAATCACTTCGGCACGAAGTTGAGGTGCTTACTTGGCCGATCGTGATTCCCTTTAGCTTGCTAATGGTGCCACAAGCCTGGATAGCACCAGCATCATTCGTACATTTTGCAACCTGTGTGAGACAGCCAGGCCGCCAACTACATGATGCTTCGGAAGTGTTTCATATCGCCTGGTGAGCAGGTTTGTCCTGATACTGTGAGTGTGAGCGACAGAACAAGTGAATGTAGGCTTGTATGCGTGCATGATGTAGGTATGGCCTGAGTGAGTGAGTGAGTGGATTGATTCATTGTGTGGCTGTTATCCTGAAGCAAGCTGACCAGACTGCCTCGGCGTGAGGACAAGCAGCTGACCTGGCACAAGGAGGATGGCGGCGTAGTCCCCTTTGACAGCTTGGGTCCTTGGAGCGTTTGCGAAAGCTACAAGGAAATCCCAACCCTGCGCATCTGTAGCTTTGCTGAAGGCTGGTGGCTTGGACCTCTCCGAGGCAAGGTTTGCCACGCGGCTGTTTCGTCGGCGGCGGTTTCTTCCTGGGCCACATTGTGTTGCAGGTTCGAAGTCCTTTACGATGATGACAACGCTGATGTTCGACTGCATCGTTTGTCTTGGACCAATCATGGCCCAGTCCCTTACATCATTCGCAGCGTTCATCTTTGTCCATGTGCACAAGCAGGCTAAAGATCGCCACGCTGCTGCGTCGTCAACTCTTAGGCTTTCTACGGAGTCCTCGTGGAGATTCTTGCGTACTGGAACGTTTTCGTCAGGGGTAATCACTTCGAGTGCCCGGAGCAGCCTGTAGCATAAGTGCACAGGCCCAGAGTACGTCGGCACCCACTTCTGCCAGGTATGTCACTGCAAGCAAATCGATGGATCGCAAGTCTACGTACGGAGCTGTCGAGAGTGCCAAGGCCTGTCTGGATTAAGCTTGCTCCCTGCTCTCCCCTTCCCCCTTCGTGTTTCATTTAAACGGGCGGTCCAGCAAGACTTACGTCATGACTACGTGTTCAAGACGAGACGAGCCCCTGCGTCGCAAACAGGCACCGCCGGCCCTCGGCAACGAGTATGCAGAGGAGTCCACGGAAGCTGAGCCTGAGCAGACAAACGGGGAAGACAAATCACACTCCTAGCCAGGCTGTTGTGCGACATGCAGGCTTATATTGGCAATCTGGCCCAAAAAGGAGCGAAGCAGCAGGCTATCATGATCGATTGTTGCATGTTGCAGACTTACGCTGCTTTTTGCCGCACGAGACATGCTGTCCTTGCGATTGCCCATCGCAGCTACCTTTATATGTGCAGACGTGAGCAAGGAGTGATGGAGTCTGTTCAGAATCAGAGCGCAGTGTTGTTCTTCAAGTATAAGAGCAAAAGTACTATCTATGTGACCATGTGACCTCAGGTAACATAAAGTACCGATCGCATGTCACAGCTACGTTCCAGGCCCTAAGCACAATGCTGGGCAGGCATGGCAGTAACAGCAAGCGACAAGGATCGCTGGAACTTGCTCTCGCCGACGGCTTCCAAGTCCTTGGCGAAGGAGTTCGACTTCGGAGATGCCACAAAGGGCGGTTTGGGCGGTGTGGTTAAGGGGAAAGATCGCTGGAACCTCCTGCGTGACAATGTCCAATCCCTTTCTTTACAGGCAGGCTCTGCGTGTCCTGTGGCGTGTGACAGCGTGTGTCCTGTCATGTCGTTCAAAGGCACGTGGTGCAAACGCCTTTTCCAGCGTGGGACGGTCTGACACTCGAGATCGCGAGATGAAAGAGGCCCTTGGCATCTTTGTGGATCCAGGGCCACTTCGAGCCCTTCGCAGCGCATCCAGCTTTTCTCTTCCACGCTGCGGAGAGCTGGAGCCTTGGAGCATGAAGGGAGATATTCACTTTCATGGCGCTTGCATGTGGAGGCGGCTCGACAGGAGAAGGGCGATGACTTGATGGAATCTCCGGGTGCCATTGATTGAATTTCCTGAAGTCGACCCATGTCATGGCAATTCATGGCATCCTGGTTGAGTTGATGAGCTGCTCGAGCTGTGAGGTGTCCTCACAGCCTCAGAACCTGCCCCGGAGCCTGGCGTAGCCGGCGACTCCGAAGTACCGCCTTGCCAGGCCCCGCAATGCAGAGAGTCCTTCTAGGGCCAACTTGTAGGGCCAGGCATGATGAGGGACTAACAAGGGTATGTTGAGCGTTGTTGGACTTTAGAGCTCTCCCTCTGCACCTCAGGTCGAGGCAAGCCTGGACACCGATTTGGAGGGCAAGACAGGTTGGTCGTTGTCTTGAGACCCTGCGATCGTGCGGTTGTGCTGAAGCTTCAGGCAAGGATGAAATTGGAGAGGAGTTTTCCGATTGGGAGTCCGAGGCTGCAGAGCATATGCCCTCAAGAGTGCCTTCGCAAAGTTGCATGTGGAAGCTAAGATTCTGAGATGTTCCTTGTTGATGGAGGCCGAAGACAACGTCGTTTCAGCCGACAAACACGGATTCCTCACCGCCTGTGACGCCATTGTCGCAAGCCCTGCCATACACGTGCTTGGTCCTCAGGAGAGCGGTCCTCCTTCCGGGCTTTGTGGTGCGGAAGACATCGAAGTGGCGGGGACAAAAGAGGCAGAGGCAGATCCAGATTGTCCCATACTTGGAAGTGCACCTCCAACCGGCATGAAAGTCGAGGCAAGCACCTCGGGAGCGCCGCAAAGCAGGAGACAAAGCGGTGCAGTGGAGGCTGCTGCAGTACCAGATCTTGTCAGCCGCATGCTGGGCGGGCTTCCTAGCTGGGCGGCTTTTGCAGCCGCAGACGAGTCAGAGGAGGAGGTCCACAATGCTTGGGGTGAACACGATACAGATGACATGCTGGGACTGCGAGCTTTTGAATTGCAGCAGGCTAGAGGAATAGAGGTGCCGGGAACCCCCACAGCAGCGCAAGCAAGGCTGGCCAAACGGAAGCAGAAGGCACAGGAAAAAGCTAAGCGCAAAACGCAATTGGAGGTGGGAACCACCGAGAGCACGGGTGGCCATCTGTTCGGTATGATGTCCATGCTCAGCAACCTTACCAGTGCGACGGCTACCGGCTCTGCACATGACGATGATGAGGAAAGTGTCCATAACGCTTGGGGCGGCGATGACTCAGACTCGAAGTTTGTAGAACGCGCTGCTGAACTGGAGCATGTGCGGGGAATGGTGGTACCTGTTCTCAAAGTCCAGACGGGTGGACGTGAGCGGTTAGCAAAGCGCAGGCAGAGAGCGGAGAAGAAGTGCAACACGCATCAAGGAATTGCCGAAACACGTGATGGAAGTGCCACGAGCTACTCTGGCAGAGCAGCTGCATCCGTATTTTCTGCTGCTGCTACAAGCATCGTGCAGTTTCAGCGGCTCCTCAACTATGTGGCATCCACCCAGGACGATGAGATTGACGAGGTTTTTTGCATATGGGGTGAGGATGATACTCCAGAGAGATTCCACGAGCGCTTGGCCGCAATGGAGCTAGCCCGCTCCGACCAAAGCGGAAGACTTCCGCATCACAGAGTGCTCCGACAGAAGCGCAAGGGGCGTGCCAGCTCCCAAAAGAAGGAGCGCTTGTGCACATGTTCCGGTTTTTCTGCGGGCATGTACGGGCAGCTTGACCTGGCACTTGAATCCAGAACTGTCCGCCTGCAGGAGCCAGATGATCCGTTTCTTCTCGACCTGCGGCAGCAGATCGAGTAGCTCAGCATGTAGGAACAGAGGACTCCCACAGGTTCCTGACTTGATAATGCCCACTTCTCAGTTCTGCTTTCACCAAAGGTGACGCGCCGTGCCACATGGCCGTGTTTCAAGAACTGAGGAAAGAATGAAATGCTGGTCGTCACGTGAATAGAGCAGATGATAGCGGATACAGTGCCGTAGCTTGTTGCTTCACATTGTGCCACTGATCTGGCTTCAGACTTGTCAGGGTAGCCGAGGTGCCCCACCCATCCCCTGCCTAGAGATGCGGCAAAGTTGGCTGCAATAACAAAGGCTTCGTTCGAACCGGTCCAGAGTCGACGTCTCCGTGGCTTCGTCAGCTCTGCAGGCGCAGGGATGGAGAGTGGACTGGCTGCCAGCACTGGAAGCCTCAAGGCCACAGCCCCCTGAGTCGAGCATGGGCTTTCCTGTGGAGCTCCCGAAATGAGGCGACTGGCAAAGCCAAAAGTGTAAGCCTTGATGGTTCAAGGGGTGTGTGAGCCTGAGCACTTGTATACCACGGTGGGGTGTAGCTGGCACAGTCAATTTGACTGGCCACTCCGCCAGGTCCCTTTGATGATGAATGCCGCGCCCAAGACGCCAGGCACCAGACGGTTTTGGTAGGTTCACATGGCTTGACACCTGACTATTCCTGATCAGGAGGACGTGCCTCGAAGCAGACTCCAATCATTCCATCAAAGGATGTATCTCCGCGTGGTACTTAGTTCATTGATGGCTCCTGCGCATCGACAGGTGTATGTTAGTCCTTGATGTTGTTTTCGTCCTGTGCTTGCAAGGGAGCAGCTCCAACTCTTTGTGTTTCCTTCCAGCCTCGAGCATCCGGAGGACGGTCGCAGCCAATGTAGGACTGGACTTGTGTTGAAGCCAAACTCTCCGCGAGTCTACGGGCCGCCTGGAACTTTTCGCCTACTATGGCCCCGTGGATGAGGCGACTCGAAGAGCAGTCTGTTGCTGCCGAATAGCCTCGCATGGCCTTGCAGAGGCTGGCAAGTTAAGAGGTGGAATTGGAGGCTCACACATCCACACGGATAGCTCCTCAGAGTCCACACGAGGAAACGCAGACTTCAGCGTTGGGTCTTATGAGTCCTATGCCTTCTGAGGATCTGGAGATTAGACAAATGATTCATCACCAGACGCGCGAGGTGCTGCTCTTGCTGGCATCTTAGTCTAACAAAGTGCATCCGGTGCTCAGATGCTCTTCACCCTCTTCAAGAAGCCGAGGGAGACTGTCGAGGCCGCATTAGCCGAGTGGATGTGGATTCCGTGTTTCTGGATCCTTCATTGCAGTGTTGGTACGGGTATGGTACGGTCATGCCCAAGCTGTCGGCTCGGCTTGCTGTGGGATTGTGCAGAAGACCTTCAGCCCTTATATAAGCCACTTGTTTAAGGTCACGGCAGGTCCTTGGGTTAGGATTCTTCTGGCTGGGAAGACTTTTGGAAGTTTCCCAAAGCAATGGCGAGCGTGGCAGCCGGCCAGTCTCTGTCACGGGGGTTGGTGCCGCCTCCTCCGCCTCAGCCGCACATATCTGGCGTGCCGGCAGCTAGCCGAGAATCTCCTTCGCTGCCTCGACCACCTCCACCAGAGCCTCGAGCACCACCACCACCACCACCCACGCCACCACCCGGACCACCATCAGCGGCCGCTTCTGCAGTGCCGCCGCCTCCACCACTGCCACCAGAGCAGTCGCAGCCAACGCTTCGCTTGGAGACAGGCGGAAATGAGAAGTCCCAGTCGACAGTGGATTGCAAAGGGGCTGTCCGCGGCATCTTACAGCGTATGTGTGTCCTGGTTGTATTCCGGGAGCTCGGATCGTGTTCTGCTTATGCAAATGTTGATGTCGTTGAGTCAAGAACAACGAGCCCTTGCGAAATCAAGGCGGCTCCATGAGACGTCGTGGAGTTGCTCCTCTCCAGGTTTTCAGGAGCTTGGATGCCACCAGACGCGGCTGGCTCGGCCCCAGACAGGCCCCGGCCAAAAAGCCAAATTTAATGAATTTAACCACGCGTTGCCTTGTGTTAAATTAAATAAATTAGTTCTTTTTGGGTTCTTTGTGCTGTGTTTTCTTTATTTAAATTAACCGTGATTCGTTTACACCGCCATTACGTTAATTGAAATGAAGTAAACACAACACCTAATCTATAATGCTTTCCTACTGAGTGGATTAGTTCTATCTGTATAGGAGAATATCAGTTATAGAATCCTACCATTAGGAAATAGTTGTAAGATTACAGTCTCAGTCTTCGAAGCCTTTCAGGTCGCGCGAATGGCATGGGCCATGGAGCCGCAGCTGGGCTTTCAGGAACTGGCTTTGCTGTTCCAGCACCTTGGCTGAGGGGCGCTGCTTCTCCTCTTCTTTCGAAAAACTGATTGGAGGTGTTTGGGCGGCAAAGACGGGCGCATCGCCCCAGTGGACTTCTGCAGAGCTTTCCAAGCAGTGGATGCGGACGTGCCAGCATCCTCAACACAAGGTAGCCAAGCACCGATTGTGTTGTTATTCTATCCTCCACGTGTTGAGGGGTGTTTTTCGATTCGACATTCCCTGAAGCTAACACAAGACGTTGTCACCTCGGAGGAAGGGCGCCTGTGAATGCGGGACCTGCGTTCTCACCATCCAGGCTTCATGCTCGGGGGTTTCAAGGAAGCATCGGGATGATTGCTGGACTGAGCTTTGACACCGAAGGCGTGGGGACGGCCCTACTGCACAGCTCTCACCGCAGAAGGAGGATGCCACCAGGGCCACCATGTAGCGAGCATCGCAGGATCGGAAAGCCTTCTTGTGGTTTCGAGGACCTTCGTGCTGCTTTGCGCGGCGGGTTTCGCCCGGGGTTCAACCTCCGGGCTCGGCAAGATGCCAAGCGAAACTTGACGTCGAGCCGAGAGACAAGGCGAAGACTCGCAACGGTGGCCAAGCGCTCCGCTTTTCATCTCAGCCTCAGGACGATCCAGCCTCTGCGGGGCATTCGCCTCAAGCCCGCAATCGAGTTCCTTGAGCCATTCGCCACGATGTAATTCGGCTGACACGATCGGAGGAAGTCTGGGCTTGGAAGCTGATGCTGCTGCCGCCCTCGAGGAGTCTTCGCTCGCTGCAGAGTTCGCTCCGCGGCTCCAACTCTTTGCGCTTTTGCGAGGACTTCGTCAGAAGACACAAAAGCGAGCCCCAGAGGAGCCCGGCCGCTGCAGGCCGTGTGGCGAAGCCGTGCTACCATGTAGGAGGTTCTCCCCGGATTTCCGAAGCCAAGGTCGACAGGAAATCGTGCCCTCGCCAAGAAAACCTATTGCGAGCTGGATGCCTAGCAATCGCAAGCATTGAGACTTGTACCTCCAAGACTAAGACTCTAAGTGGCAACTTCGTTTGCCTACATCTCACAAGGCCCAGCAGAAGCGCCGAAGCCAGCAGCGACGGCAGCGAGCTACAGCAGTGAGGAGAATATGTACACAGACATGATGACCCTGTCTTGTTTCTGGAGCCTGAGCAGAAGTCTCATGTAATCCGCGACCAGGATTTCGACGGCGAACGTTCCGACGGAGCCTACAGTGATAGCTTCCAAAATGATTACGACAGCCAGAGCTCTGGAAGCAGCCCGCGTGAGAAAATCTAGTTTTGGCGAATGCGGTTGTGAGCTGCACTTGAGTTTGCCACAGCGACATCACTAGCATTGTTGTGGCGGCTGCAGCAGTTCGCAGAGATGAAGGGAGCGACATGGAGTAGAGAGGCGAGAACTTACTGTTGCAGTCTCGCTGGCAGCAGGTCATTGTCGACGGTTTAATGCCAGCAGCGATGGCATACAACTACACGTGGAGCGAGGCATTTGGGCTGCACTCCAGCGATGTCCGCAAATCTTGCAAGCGGAGGTGAAGCAGCTCTTGAAGCCTTGCTTCAATGAGATGGGGAGGCCACTAGTCGCCTTGCGTGTGCTGGATACGGTCTTGCTGCCTCCCCCCTTGCAGCAATGGCGGGAAGTTGCACTTCGCGCACATGCAGAAGATAATTCTGAAGAGCCAGAAGGAACGGCTGCAGGCCATGCACACTGCTGGTGCATTGTCAAGTCATCCAAAGGCCTGTACGGCCTTGTCAGGCTTTGCTCAAGGATAAGAATGCTGCATTTAAGGAGCGGTGCGTATGCCCTCTGCTGGAAGTGAACGGAGCATATTTGCTGTTGCAGGAGCGTGGACCCAAGGTCCCCTTCCAGTCAAAGCCCCAGCAAGCGCTCCTGGCACCCATCGCCAAGCCGAGCTGGCGAACTTTCGACAAAAGCATGGCAACTGTATACATGTTTCTGTTTCATGGAGCCTGGTGAGTCTCCTGGCAGGAAGCAGTTGAACTCCTGCGAGGAACCTGGAGTCTTAGCATGCGAGTCTGCCAGTCTTGGGGAAGGCTTATAAAAAAGGAATGATGATAGAAAGACGAGTGAGGAGTAGGGCCGAGGCAGGTAGGCCTAGAAGAGACTGTCTAATTCCTGTACAGTATCTTCCCAAGGAGGGAAGAAAGCTCACGAATTTTCAAGGGGCCCACTAGAAGCTGTCCTTGTGTGCAGAGTTTCCGCACATTCAGGCTGAAGTCTTGCACCAGTAAGCACAACACCACTTGCCGGATGCGAACCTGCGATTCACGGCCAACGCTGATCTCAAGCTGCAGCTTCGATTCCCGTCCGAGCAGGAGCAGCTCTGGAGGCGGACGCGGCTTCAGAGACACTGCACCAAAGTGGCTGAAATGGAGGCGCACCAATTCGCGTCAGGCGGTTTTCTTGCGTGGCAGCCACCGTGTTCATGCACAGGACCAAAACCTACAGGATCAGCTGGTCTCGAATGTTCATGGCTTGATGCGTTTGCCTTGGGGCTGGGGCTGGATCTCTGGATCGGTTTGAGGTCATACTTTGCCGAAATCCTGGCGACGTCGACGACAGGCAAGAGCTTTCTGGCTGTGAATTGTCTGTGCTTGTTTTAGAATTTAGAGCTTGACTCGTCTTTGCCAGATGGGACCGCTATTGTGCTGTCAGACGTGTGGGCAAGGCCACCTATGTGAAGGCCATGGTGTGTGATTGAATAGTTGCACTGAGTCATCGGGATTGAGGATGCGGGGTTTTGGATCCATTTCCCGACGGCGTTTCTGCAGGCTAGAAACCTGCCTCACAGCGGCTATGCTTCCATGGACGATGGCTTGTCTGACAAACACCCAGGCTGGTGAGAGTCGGATCCAAAAACCATGTGTTGCTTTGCTCTGTCGGGTGCCTTTATCATGAGGAAGTCAGATTAAGCATTTGTGCAGATGTGGCAAGGCGTTTCCTCCCTGATTTCTGCGGGCTACGCCAAGGGGCCAATTCTGTGATGTCCTCCACGTTTCACACGCATCCGCATAGCAAACAAGTGTGTTTCACTGTGACAACATCGTTGGTTACAGCCGCAGACAAAAATCATGCAGGTTGTGTGTTACGTCAGTTATGTGTCAAACGGGCATCCTCGATGTAAGCCTTAAACCCTAGAGGCACCCACAAGGACCATACCGCGCAATCTAGGAGAAATTCCAGCTATGCGGGCATTAAATGGATGTTACATGGGAATCCAGCTACAACTCCCACAAGTGGTTACGGGGTCTGCACCATTCTGCAGCAACCAGCTCGGGTGAGGTAGCGTGGGGTGGGGTGGGGCGGGGCCGGGTTGGGGCGGTAGGGTGGGGTGGGGTAGGCAAGGGTTGCTCATCCTACATTTAACGTTCCCACCACGTTCTCAGAACCCCATTTTCACGCTACTTAAGGATTTACGGGTCATTTACCGCAATTTGTGTTGAGGAGAGCCGGGGTTGGGTCCCCGGGTAAGTGCCGGCAGTCTTTGACCATCCCAGCCACCAGCGGAGCCCAAATGTTGTGAGCTTTCCTGCTTAAACGCGGCTTCGGTTCACAGGGGAGTCGGAAGGATGTCGGAGTTCCATCATGGTCCGAGGAGGCCGTGACCCTGCGCTGTGTGGAGACCGGTGAACAAGTTCCGCTGTAGTCGCTGTATGATGATTCCAGCACAATTACAATGCAATTACAGCATCATGAAAGAATTATAGCATATTTATGGTATGCCGGAAACGTTTTGCTAACAGGTGAGGGTCCTTCCACATGGCGATGAAGGCACCTTGGCCCTCTGTCGTCTGAAGTGTCGCGGCTCCCGTTCTAGCGAGGCCATGTGGTTGCTTCTGGCTGCCTGCCTGAGCTTGGAGCTCAGTTGCGAGCACGGTTGTGGACCCTCTGCTGCATGTTAGACCTGGTATGCCATGCCTGTGAAAAGAGCAGACTGTGCCTCTTTGTGTAAGGTCTATGTTCAGCCCAGACACAGTATTTCGAAGTGCTCCAGTGCGCATATCCCGCGGAGATTCAGAGGCTAGAGGCGCTTGCTGCTGGTTCACACCTTGAAGAGTCGAGGTACCGTGGTCCTTCTCAATGTACCAGATGTCAATGTGTTGACCCTAAGCTTTCCCGTGATCTAGAAAGATCTGGGAGAGCAATGACTCTGACAGTATTGCAAGAGGCTGTGCAAGCCACTGTTGCATCCAAAGTGTTTTCGGTCCAGGTTTGAACCAGAACAGTGATCTTTGTCGAGAGCTTCGGGAAGGATTCTTCCTACGAGAAAAGGGCTGCCAGGACCGGAGCGTTGCACTTTTTCGTGGTCTCTGACTCCAGCCGCTGACTGGCCTGACCACAGAAACACAGTGCCGGGCTCGCCGACACCGAAGCAAGCACCTACTGGTAGTAGTTGCGACTGCTTCGCTTCTCACTAGCTGAAAGCGGGGCGGCACAGAGACAAGTCATGCACCTGCGTAAACCAACGACATCTCATATCCAAAGGGGCAGGAGGCAGGTCTGGAGTGTGTTGTTTTGGCCTCAGTTGTTTGACAGGACGGCAAAATCTGCACAAACTGTGCATATGGGAATGGCACAGCCCCGACGACTTGTCAGTGCGAGAATCCGCCATTCTCCGTCCCGGCCCAGTGCCCCACACCATTCCACTCGAGTGGGCTCCGTTTACTTGTTCTATGAGGTACAACGAGGAATGCGGCATGGGGAAGGAGTGTGCTGAGGCTAGCGGCAAGCGGCCATTGCCAGCACCGTGCGCACAGCGATAAACATGCGCTCGTGCAGGGGCAAGGCATCTGCTTTCGACCCTGTCGAGCGCTTACGAGGGACAGTGCTGAAGGCGCAGATGGTTGAGCCTCCGAGTTCTCCCACCAAGGCATGACCTTCCTTCACATCACTTCTTGTCCCACGGACTATTGCCAGTGGAACACGCTGACCTTGCTATGTGAGGACAGGCAGGCTTGCGATAACTTTCCGAGATGAATTGATTTTTCGCCGTGCCTGCAGGGCTCTCGATGCGCCAACGGTGTATTGGAGGGACAGCGCAGGCCGTCGACGACGTTGCAGTAGTTCTTGCGCTGATTATTGCGCAACTTGCCAGGTACGACGGTGCCGGAGATAGCAACAGAAGTGATTCAGCGGACAGAGCCTGCTGATGCATACTTTCCAATGAGCACGCATCTCAGCAATCGTAATGCTGGTACTGCTTGCCTGTTCTCCTGCTGCGCTTTGCATAGCGCGTGACTTGCCTAGCGGTCGCTGATCGGAGGCTTTGCGGCTTTCCGCAAAAGCGGAGAAGGATTTCGAATCGAAGGTGTCCAGATTGAGGCCGATGCGGAATTGCACTCCCTGGGATCCTGAGCCTCACGCATGGCGAGATTTTTGATTGACGAAGTGCCTTGACAGAACATCACCCAGCCGGAAGCCCTCTTCTTGCAGCTTGACACGAACATCGATGGTGTGTTGAGCTCTGCAGAGTGCCCACCTCGGAAAGAGCATGTGAAGCGCCTCAGTCCGATGCTCCGGTCTGGCTCTGACAGGTTCGCTCGCATCGGAGAGATCTTTTTGTCTCTGAGAAATGCGGCTCTGATCTTAGACATCAGAGACAAAGGAACGGGAGGAACGGAGGAACGCCGAGTTGCCTCAGCGTTTGCTGAGGTCAGAGAGACACGTGACGCACAGGAGATGTCGGTGGTGGTTCGGGCATGTTCGGCGATCGCTTTCCGCTTGCCAGGATGCGGCGCGACGACTCCAGTCGGTGCCCAGGCAGCAGGTCACCCCTGAGGCCCGTCAGCCAGGGGTCGAGAAAGGTCAGAGAGTCTTTAGACAACAAGTTGTAGAACTTGTTTGAAGGTGTGCAACGCAAGAAATCCACGACAGTACTACTGCAGCTTTGACTCGGACTGCAAGGAGGACTGCAAGGCATCTCACAGTTGCAGTCCAGAATTTCCACCGTGCAGCTTCAGCTGAGAAGACAAGGCATGCGGATGGAAGAGTGCCACAGATCGTGCCTTTTCCATTTGCGTGCAGCCTTCTGCAGAGGCCGAGCCTCTGGAACAGTTTGTGTGAAAGATAGGGCTGTGTCTGTGCCAGTTCGAGCAAGACAGGTCTGCCACGCAGACGGTAACCAGGCTCCGCCAGAGCCGAATCTGGCCCGTCTTCTGAGCTTGCCAATGGTTTCTGCCAGGTCTTCTGTCCGTCGGACGAGATGTGTCATCCGCCTGGAGACTGCAGCAACTGCGTCGACAGGTCGGTTCCTGTGCTTGGCACTAGCGCGGGCAAATTAATGCCAAGTGAGGACGATTGCGGACCATGCTCAGCACGTGTGCCTGGCACTGTGGTGGCTCGGCCGAAGCACTACCGTTTACATCTTTCTATCCCGCGGGAAGCTGGTACCACTGGCAGCGAGGGCTCATGGTAGTGGTGTCAGAATGGAAGCCAACACGCCGTGGGGCCGAGTCCAGCGAGGGGAACGCCCCGAGAAAAGCAAAGCTGTTCACCAGTCTAGTGAAGAGCTAAGAGGCTAGCAGGCTTGCCACAAACGCGAAGAGGGTGCAGACAAAGCAAGTGACACTCAGATGCGAGGATGAGGCAGGTCTGCACAGCATGCTCAAAAACTAGGTGTCGATTTCTGTTTCTTCCCAGCAGATGGCCAGGTGTAGACACTCCCGTTGCCATTCAGTAACCTACAGTGCGTGGATGGGACACTCGGCCAGAGCTGCAGACTTCCTGACCTTTTTCTCAGGTGGGATCCACAGCCGCTGACGCAGTGGACAAACTGGGTGTGCCGCTGGCGCAACAAGGTGCACCTTCTGCAGTTTACAGCTGACGGGGACACTCCTTGATTTCAAGGAGTTGGTTCCGGCTCACTGAAACTAGACATCTGTGCTCAGGTCGGCATGCCTTGTGCGAATGACCAGGATGTTTCCGGTGCACTGCGCCTGCAATAGTCAAGGTTCTCTCTGCCCACCCGCTGTAGCACGCAGGACTGCATCTATGGCATGCGAAGATGCTTAGATGGCGCTTGCATGCCCTTCCAGCCGTACCTGCCTTAAGCTTCCGAGTTTGGGGCAACAGGCATACTGCATTGTACTGTCACGAGCCCGGAGTAGCAGATGAAGCGCCACGGCGGCCTGAGAGCGAAAGCCGCATACGGGGGCTCAGGTACAATGCCAATCAGACTTGCGAGAGCGATTTCGACTGCCCTCATCTTGGCTTTTACTGCCCGTCCGACCCGACCGGCGGACAAAATCCATACTGGGCTGCTCTGTTGCACGTTGGCTGTGCGACCATGTAGGACAGAGGTACAAGTTGCAAGCTCAAGTCCTGGAAGCTCAGGTTCAGTACTGCAGAGCCCAGCGTGAAGAGGACATGACTTGCTCAGAAGACCGAGAATGCAGATGGCTGAGCGTCTGAACACCAATGTTCTAAGACTTCTTGAACGGACGTTACATTGGCTCAGGTCAGCCCGGGATGCGCTGCAACGTGGGTGAACCACAGCCTCGCTGCCGCCGACTTTTCTCGCTTCCAATAGGCCGCACCTACGAGTATCCACATACTCGACTTGAGCAGAGCAGACTGGAGATGTCACCAGGCGCACTGGCGGCCGAGGACGTCTTTTGCCAATTTGGCTGGAGGGACAGGTGGCACTTGACAACAGCATGCATGTGTAGCTGCTGGTCAGTGCCTGAAGCTCTTCTGCTTTTTGTATTGCTATTGCAGGGCGTGTAGATTGCGCTCCTGATTCTTGTCCCGGCCTTCGCAGGGATGGCAAATGTGCTCCGCCGGCACAGTCCAAGCAGGCCCGGAGCCGGGGGCCTCTTTGTCGCTAGTCACCGCTAGTCTGTCCCTTTTCGGTCAGGCTGGCAGAAGCTGTGACACCGACCTCGACTGTGAAACAACAGACGAGACAGGAAGGATGGGCAGCTGCACCTGCAAGGCCAGGTGCATACACCTTGGGAGCATGTCTGGCGGAGCACCGAAGCTCGTCCTAGCAGGCGTGGTGGGACAAAGATGATCCCAAGTATTGCATGCCTGTGGCGGGAGACTATTCGCGGCATCAGGAAGCATTGAGGAACTACCTCTGGTTCAGGAGGGGAGCCATGCTGTCAACTTGTCTCAATTTTCATGTGCCTGTTGCACGTTTTGCAGGGCAGAGAACTGTGGGAATTTCTGGACTGAGCAAGAATGCTTGCGCATCTTCGGCAACGAGGCCGGGTGCCTTCTTGCCAACATGTCTCTGTTATGTTAACTGCGTCATGAAAACGCTGCTCTAGGCCATGAGACTCAAGCTTGCTGTGGAGTGCGAGACACAACAGCTCTCCGGAGGTGCCCGGCTTAGACTCGTCATGCGAAAATTTTCAGAACAACAGCAAGACTGCTCCGGCCCTGCACATCACTCCAATACCTCCGTCCCAGGCCCGTATGGCCCGCCTGAGGAGTGTGGTGCCCTTGTGTTTTAGCTGAGTTGTTGCAGCTGGGAGCTCTCTGGCTGGCAGATGCTGGCAGGTATTGTGGATGACGAGCGATTCGGAGACAGATGTGCCATGATGGATGCATTGGGGTGATCGGTGTCGGCACCCCGCTGCCATATTGCGTAAGAGCTCCAACCTTACTGCACTCAACACCTCCACTCCCTGGCAAGTCCTGCCCACTGATGTGGGGTTCGACACGGCTGCCGGTTTCACAGCACGGTCAGTCAAGTTGACTATGCTTCAGAATTTGCTACGGCTCTCAAACATGATGCAGTTTGCATGGCTATTATGCGGTCCGATGCGCTGGCTTTGGTTCGGATGAAGAGATATGAAGAGCTTCTCTGCCCATGCTTCTAGCTCGCGTGCCGCCATTTTGGCTGCATCCCATCGCTGATCCAGTAGTAGATAGTACCCTTTGGCGGCATGCCACTTGGCAGCAAGGCAGAGCGTATTTCAGAGTTCTCCTGCAAAGCTGACCTGCCGACGCCTTGGTGGTCGTGATTCCCTGCAGGTGCGGTTGAGCATCATGCCGAGTTGGTCGCGGGCTCCTCAAAGCCCCTTGTCGGGCGCGAGAGCGAGGCTTCCGAGTCGTCTCCGAGGTTCAAGATAGCACAGCAAGCCCATGGCCACACCGTTCTCGGATTCGCTGGCAGCAAGCTCCGTGTCCGAACAGGGAAAGGCTCTACGATTCTATCGAGCCTCTGGGAGCTCAGGACATGCCTCGAGACTCCTGGTCCCGGAGCCGGATGCTTAGGAGTGCTTAGGAGAGAGTGATCGTCGTCATGTGCCTCATGCGGTCTGCCCAGGCTTACAATCCATACCCCTTCATGAATCCGACGGTCCATCGCACGACCAGCGGTCGTCACTTTCCGGACACTGTCTTCTTGCAGATCGCTGCAGTTCACGGTGATTACATGATATGACTGTTGTCCAGTAGCCGAAGGCGGTTTGTTGTTTACTTGTTGGTCTGCTCTGCGGCGAGCGGCAAGCGCAGTGTTTTGATATCTCTTTCTGTGCCTCTTGGGTGCCTTGATGGCCAACAGGAAAGGGCTATTGCCTTTTTTCTAGTTCTCCTCGGTGAATGTGTCACGTCAGAATCTTGTTGCCGCTACCTTTGTGGGTCTGCCTCCGAATCTTGATTGCTGAAGCTGCAAGACTGAGAATACTGCGGCGCAGAGTGACGGACAGGACCGCGCGCCGGGCTTCCGCAATGTAGCGGGCTGCTCGGTGTTGGAGTCTTCTCCAAACCTGCCTTTTTGGGCATTCCTGCTCTCGTATGAGATTGTCAGGTCGACAGAATGCCAGCGGCATGGCGACCAGAGCCAATGTCACTCTCCAGACCGCAGAGGCATGATGCACGCAGATGAAAGTCGTCGAAGCTGCGGAACAAGACTGAGTCACTTGAGTCGTTGCGCATTGTGCAGTGAGCAGCCGCTGGTGCACTACGCATCTGCCACATTCTGGGACATGGTCTCAGGTTGACTTCTGTCGAGTCTTGGATTTTGGCCCAATGTGGAAGTGTTGCTTTTCTCAACTGAGGCTTGGCCTGAGCAGCGCCGGCGGACCGCAGCAGCATTGAGGCAAAGATTTCGTGATTCGCAGCCAAAGCGGACAGGTAAGGCGTCGCCCTGCCAATGATGGCTCTTGAATTCGCAGGCACGAGCGCCAGATGAACGACTTGACATCCAAAAGCACAGGCTCGCACCATCAGAGCGATTATGTTGTCCTACATGAACGTCATTAACGTGCTTCTCTCGGACTCGAGCAACGACTCCAAGAGGTGCTTCCTCCAAGGAGGATTCGGGTGCTGCAGATTGGCACGAGGAGGGCAGACTGGTACTCAAAGCAAGTTGATCCGGGAAGCAAGCGTTCAAGCGTGAGTCGAAGGACCTTATGCACCAGGGCAACAACGTGCCTCGAGAATCTCGAGATCCGGCGTGGGGATCGCTTGGTAGGCTTGCTGCGATGCTTGTCTCGGAAATTGCATTCTGCACCTGAATCCCTCTCCTCGCAAGGTCGCGCAGTGCTTCGGCCCTCAGATCGCTTTAGGATCCAGACATTAGTTTCAAGTTTCACTAGCTCGAGACTCGTCAAGCGATAGCAGTAGAGCATCAATGGACCAATAGTCGGGCAGCAGATGAAGTGAAAATGCTTGGAATTCAAACCACAGCAGCAGTTCAAGCAACTGAGCAGCATGTCCTGCTTTTCTTTACCACACAATCTGCGGCATTTGGCTCCCACGTATCTCGCCACGAGTATCCATCCGCGATTTCACAGCTGATGCCCTTCACAGACCTGAAGAGCCGCCAGCCCCAATTAACTGAGCTCTAGCCCAAGCAGTTGAGCACTCGAACCTTGAACCGTCACCGACAACACGCCACAGTTTTCACATCTGTGTCGTTTCCATGCCTTCGCTGTCCTTGCTCCTCCAAGACTAGCTGGCACCTCAGCTCCAGGAACTCCATCCCGGTGGTTCCGGAATCTGAGCCAGTGTTGTAGCTCAGCGGTTGATCCTCGGCCTGCCTCGTTTGGTTTGGGAGTTCGGGTGGGTTTCATGCGGCTCTCCGGTTTGGAGCTGCCGTCAAGTCGACGAAGAGATCGTCCATGAGATACGCAGGTCGACCTGGCTGTTTGTGGACGGCATGGAGTCTTATGATGATTCTTCCGAAGAACCTTCAGAGAGGTTCAGGGATTTCAAGTATCCGAGCATGACGGACGTAAACGAGCGTCTGTGTGAGGGCAACTACCGCGTGTAGTTGTTAGCCGCATATGTTGCCCGTGTTCCCTCGCGATTAGAGAGACGCGGGATGCGGGCGTTTGTCAATTTCCGCCATTAGGGCTGCTCGATTTAATCGTATTCGTAAAGTACCCTTGTTTGACTTAGTTGGGTACCAATCCAAGGAGACACGTTGGGTATCCTCCAGTCTTGAGTATCCAGAGGCAGCAATTTTAGCTTGAGGCATCACTGGAGCCAAGTTGTGTTGCATTCACATCGTTGCACAGCCAGACTGCAGATACTTTAGCAACTTTAGCTGTTGCGATAAAGCTTTTTCGTGCCCTAGCACGCTCGTGAAGTGCTGACGGAGCTGCTTGCCTACCTGCACAGGCTGTGCAGACCAACGGTAGAGGCAAACTTGAAGACGTGACCTAGACAGCTTCAGTTGTATGGCCCAGCTGTCTTTTCGGATCAAGTTTGCTCGGCTCAAAGCCAAAGTTGAAACTACTCTAAAATGCTGTTGTGGATCCATGCAGCGGCCACATTGCTTGCTGCCATCGTTCTTCAAAGGCGCTCAGGCTTCGCAGGAGCATCCCCCTTCATGCAGCAACTTGGGCCTGCACCTGCGAATCCTCGCGATGACAGTTGCGAGAGGCTGAATCGGCTGGAAGAGGCCGCGCTAGCCAAGGCAACTGGCTCTGAATTTGAAGAATACCGGAAAGCACTGGCAGCCTGGCGCAAGGCTCACCCTGGCTACCAGCCTAGCTGTCGCACAGATGCTTTGGGAAAGCAGCTTTGCAAAGACGGTGCGAAGCTTTCTGCCTTGCTGGGTCCAGCCACTGGAGACGAATGGGATGCCTGGATGCGAGAGCTGGCTGTGCACGAGGCAACTCCCGATGACTGTGCCAACTTCGCAGCTCGCCAGGTTGTGGAGATGTGGCCTCCGCATGTGTGGCACTGGCCTCAACAGACAAGTGAGGTCATTCTGGATGAACTACTGGGCGACGCTGAGTATGCTTCATACGCTGATGCACTGCATTTGGCACCCCCTTTCGGCGCTCCACAGGTCAAGTTCCGGCATCGCCCTCAAGGGCGCTTTCAAATGCACCGAGTGGAGCAGCTGAACCATTGGAGGGTGCTTCGAAAAGCAGTGCCTGGGCTCGAGTTGTCCCAACTGGAACAGGTAGTCGAATTTGGAGGAGGCACCGGCAATCTTCCTGCGACGTTTTCTGACCTTGGTTACACCGGGGTCCACTTCGTTTATGATTTTCCGACTATGATTCTAATGCAGAGATACTGGCTTCACTATTCTGGCGTGCCAGCAGTCCTTGGCATGGATGTGCCACAAGGAACCGTGCGATCCACTGGAAATATGAGGATTGTGTTGGAGAATTCATTGAGTGATGAGCTTGTGAGCCATTTAGACACAAGCAAGCTTCAGGATTCCTTGTTTGTGGCCACCTACTCCTTCACGGAGGCCGACTTTGAATCACGTGCCAAGATATGGCGCGTCGTAAAGAAGTTTGGTGTGATTCAGTTGGCCTTCTGGGCACAGTTCTACGGCAAGGACAACATGAGACATCTCGAAGAGCTTGTGGAGACCGACTTGAAGCCATCTCACTGGGTGGCCTGGTGGACGATGCCACCCGGCTGGCATGCTACTCCTGGCATTGCCTATTACCTTGTAGCCGTGCGCAAGGACCGAGGCAACGTGCGTCGCTTGCGTTGCGTGGAGGAGCTCGGCTGCACCAGCTCAACAGCCCACATGCTGCTCTTGACGGAGACATGAGAGAAGCTTACACGTAGCGGTCTCTCACGAGCTTTCGCTGTGTCTCGAGTTCCTGGTGTGCCGCTCCTACTGCGACCCCTTCGGCCAGACGGTTTTCTCTTGCCGAGACCGAGAGCTTTGCTTGGGACAGCGATTCAACCACTTCTCTCCAAGCCGAGGTGGTGCTCGTTCTGCATAAGTCGAGAACCTCTGACATACTTTTCTTGAAGCTCTCCGTGATGAAGTCGTTGCCGGGAGATTGTTGCGTCCCTTCTGCTGCCGTGGACGCGGCGACTGGAGTGCCCACCATTGAGCTTGCTGCTCTTGATTAGTTTGGGCCGCCTCCACCACTTGACCTCCATTTCACAAACACTTGGTGCCAGAGCACCGGGAGAACCAGCCACCTCTGCGAGTTCTGGGCAGAGCTAGGCGGGGGGCAGCTGGAGTTTTCCAGTTGCCAAGACAGCTCTGGATGCCTCGCAGGAAAAGGGCTGGAAGACTCCCTTGCTAGTATGTGCTGGGATTGCCAGGTGATCAAGCTTGGTCCCCCTTCGAGAAAGGAGCCCCGCTGCACCTGCGCTCCATGAGCCCACAAAAAGCAACTGCAAAAGCTTTTTGCAGACAAAGCAGACCGACTCGGGCAACGCATATTGTGGGAGGGCAGTTCTTGCCCTTGCAATCCATATCCAGGCACTATCAGATTCCTAAGCTCCCACTTCCTCATGCTCCGTCGCACGGTTCTCTGTGTGATACAGGGAACTCTGCATCTCTCCTTCTACTAAGCGGAGCTTTGTAAGTGAGCATCTCCCATGAGGACTTTTACGGTTTAGGACTGAACACTACCCTTCAGTCTTTCAAGGTTTGCGCGTACAAGCTTCTTCCTTTTGGGGTCTGAGCGGTTCTCCGTCCATTTCACGTCAGTTTCCAAGGTTTGCGCTGAACGCCGCCTTTATATACGTTTTGAGGGTCGCAAGTCAATGCCTCCCCTGCGGGGCGACATCTTCCGGTCAGCTTCACGTGTTGGCTTTACCATTCACCATCACTCCTTGGAGTTCTAGGGTTTGCAGGCCAACATCCCCCGCTTAGGGGCGGAACCTTTTTCCGCTCTAAATCAGCTGTTGGAGCTGTCGGCTTTCAGGGTTTGACGGGAAGCATCTCCCGTGTTCCATTAAACATCGCTTTTCAAAATCACCACCTCTTGGCATTGTGGGATTTTGCTAGCCAACATCTCCCTGTTGGGGATGGAAGGCTTTTCCTCTCAACATCACCTTGAAGGGTTTTCACGTTGAAGATCAACTATTGCGTATTTCAGGGTTCGCCAGCGAATATCACCTTTGTTTGGTTTGAAGGGTTGTCCTCCCAACATGACATTTTAGGGTTTACCTTGTGCATAGGGGGGTTATCTTAGGGTTTAGGTTTCCCGCCCAGTTTTCTCAAAATCCTCATTCCGACTCATTCCTTTGCTTCAATTTCATCAATCCCTTCATCCCTCCCTGCTTTCCTCTTGACCTGATTGCTTGTTCCTTGATGGCGACCCTAACGTGCCCGATCCCTGTGACAGCCGGCACCTTCGCACCCAGCGACACTCAAGAAAAACGTTTCCTGCGCGGTCTTTTTTCCTCTATGCTTGGAGCTGAAAGCGCATGGGGAAAGCTGAGATGGTCAAACCAGTCGTATGAGGCATGGTGGTGGCGCAGATCGTGAGAATCAGGCGCTGCCTCATTGCTCTAACATGGTGCCAATATGATTTCGCGGGGTCCCGTCTGGACAGGAACAACACCCTGCGAACTTTCTGCATTACGGCTCGGACCTCTTTTCCTTCCAAGTCGCTTCTCATCGGAGTTTTGCCCAATCGCAGCCTGGGGACTACTTTTACAAGACGAGCATCGACGGCCAGCCCGTGAGCGACTGCAAAATCGAGGCTCGGCCTGTGCGTCTGAGGTCTGAGCCTGTGTTCCCTATTGCCTAAGCCCTACGCATGAAAAACGCGTGGAGGTTCCGCCGGGCTTTGACCAAGCCTCAGAAGGCTTGACCATTCCTTGGGAGTCCGTCTCGGGCACTGGATTGGAGATCTCGGAGGCCTGAGCCCTTCATGCCTCATGACACTTCGTCTGCAGCTCTGGCGTCCGACTTCGGCCTCAAGCACAGGCCGATGCCCAGATCCGATGTGTGGTGGGGCCGGTGGACTTCGACAGCGCCTTGACATGCAGTGCTGTTGGCTAGTCTTCGTCTGTGTTCTCCGTTCATGCTTGGACTCCTCCTCCCTCCTCCCCAACAACTCCCCAGCCTCCCTCGGAAGTCCGCAACTTGGAATTCTGTCACACAAGCCTCTCGCTGGGCTCGAGATGCAACCATTCAAACAGGTGCTGACACCCGTCGTCCCTCGCAATAGAATGCTGCCCTAGATGGGAGAGATTCATGAAGAAGGCTTGAGGAGTTCCGATGGCAACAGACAGAGCGTTTTTTGGTCAGGTAGATGAACAGGCAGCAGTTCATTGCATGATGCTCTAGAGGCTGACGACCTGAACCCAAGAAGGGAGAAGGTCAAGCACGGTACTGCAAGCAAATCCGGCTTGCGAGGGCAACTGGGTGCGGGCCGCTGAATTTTCTCGAATCGCTAGCAAGGTAAGTCCTAATGGCGTTTTAGTTAAGGCTGTTACAGTTTCTTCGACAATTTTGCTGACATCATAAACAGCTTCCCGGACGGGGTCTCCAGAATCTGATAATATTCTTCTGGAAGTAACGCTCTCAGGTGAGGAGCGAGATTGGCTGCAGTTCAGACGCGATGACTGGGCTTGGAGCCCAGCTGAGATTGGGGGCTGTTGGACATCTAGAGGGACTACTTTAAGGCCAAGGTATATACTATTTGAGTACGTGGACCCTTAGGGTTCACCCATGTCTATTATCCTAAACCCAACGGACCTGAATGGATCCCTTGCACACAGTGCACATGCGAATCGCGTCGTGGCATGCGAGAGGGTAGTGCAGCCGGCAGGAGCCTGCGCACCACAAGAAATGGATGCCCTTAGGTTGGCCACAGTGTGTGAGTCGTGCTGTGTAGAAATTCAAGACTGCATTGCCAGGCCAAAGACACTTGCTGGGAACCGTCGGCCTTTGTCCCAGAGCCCAGAGAAGAAAGTGTCCTGAGTTTGTGGGGGCCTTGTGCCTAGGCTCCTCCACAGACCTCGCGCTCACGTCAGCCTGGCCTGTTCATGTTGTCTACCAGTTGCAGGGCCATGCGCCCACCACGAACCCACAGTGCAAGCAAGGCTGCAGGAACTGAATCAGTTTGGGCAGATCGCAACGAAGTCCATTAAATAGCTGCAGCTACAAGCTGGACACTGTCCAAACATTCTCGCATTAGTGTTGACCGCAAATATACTAAGGTGCATTGACATGCATTCCTCAACTCACCATCGCGATTCATGACTCCTGCTATGCAGGAGGATTGTAGGTGTAATCTCGAGAAGTGCCCGAACGAAATTTGCAGGTTTCGCGACTCCAAGAGTGATTGCACGAGCAACCCTTCTCCTATCGAGGAGGCCGCACGGAAGTCGCACTGATAGCATGCCAAGAACTTGTTCCAGTTTACTCTGACGAGGTTGTGCACTTCGAGAGTGCGATGAAAGCCGCCCTGCCAAACACGGTGCTCGGCTGCATCCTTGCAGGACCAGTGAATATACAATGCTTTTGCCCAGGTCTTCTTGAACATTTTTGACCTTGCCTCCGCTTTATCGGTTCCCAATTCGATGCTGTGCAACACCATGCCATCAGCTTGGACAGTGCCTTTCAGTCGTTGTGTGTTCTCATTGCAAGCGAACTTCGTGCCAAGCGGTTTAGGTTCAACACCATCGGAGCCTTCCACACCGCTATTGAGGTGCTCACTGTTTCCTTCCTTGGCCTACTCTCGTGTGTCACTGACAAGAAGGTTTATGGTGAAGAGTGGGCTTTCTATCGCACACCAAATCCGACATCCTGCGGGGTTTGTGGCGCCGACTTGATTGATGTGTTTTGGTTGGTGGTCGCCAATGTTTGCCTGAGAGACCTGCTTTGAAGTGGTTGTGCTGGCAGGCAAGAGTCTGCGGCCGAGACATCATCCTGTTCACGTTTACAGGCGCACGTATCGGAATTTTTCGGCATGTCTGCTGTGTTAGTGTTAGTGCTGCTGGGACGCTGCCTTGTCCCAGGCAGTCCGTCAACCTCGGCAGCACAATGCTCAAGGCCGCAGAAATGCTGGACAAAGTTGCATCTTGGTTGATCTTCTCATCAGGACTGGGAGGTGCGCTACCTGATCCGAGCAAAGCTTGCCACGAAATGGCCTGGAGGCGCTGCAGCGATTCTGGTTCCGGACCGGACCCATGCGAATGTAAGAGTCGCAGGGACTTACGATCTCCTCCGTCGTGTCCTCGAAGCTGTGACCATTGTCTTGTTCTGACTAGACCTCCTCAAAGAGCGTCGCAATTGCCAGGCCACAACTGCATCCACTTCTGCCAGGAGTTGGCGCTGGCACTCGGTGTCAGCCCAGTTCCGGCGGCGACCTTGGCATCTGCTGTGAAGGCTAAATGTACGATTGTCAATTGCGGAGGCATGGGTGCGCAATTTGCACGAGACAGGCCTGTTCTGTGCATGATGGTCACAGCTTTGGTGCGGCTCTGCCTCCCCACATTTTGCAAGACAGGGGCCAGTGTCTTCCAACTTCCGTGGCCGCTGTCTTCCGTCAAGAGCTTGCTCTTCGGCGACCGACCAGCGCTCATGGACGCTCCAGGCGTGTTCAGTTTTAGTCACTTGGATGTCAGCTCTCAAGCCGCTAATCTGCAGAAGGTGAGCAGCAAAGCGAGCACCCAGGCCGTGTGACCTTGTGTAGTAGGGATAACTGATAAGCTAAACTCACCTGAGCCAACCCTCCAAATCTGATGCATGCAGAAACTGCTTCAAACGCGGCCGCGACAGTTGGGTTCTCGATCATGGGGTGCTCGCTCAACCACGAGTGTTTCAAGCCACGGATCTTTGTTTCACAGACATCTCCCGCTGTTGTGCATCTGTTGAGGAAGTGACTTTTACTTCGACAACAAGCCAAGCAGGACATACGCTGTCACATGCCGGGCCTCAGTTGGAATTCTGAAATTCTCTGACAGCTTTGGTGAAGCCCAGGTTGATCGCAAGACCTTCCCTGGTTAGTGAGTTCTCAGAAACTGGACAACAGATTTGGACCAGTCGTAGTAATCCGTAGTATTTTGCGCACTTTAGATACACGCTTAGATGTGAAGCACTCTTCGCACACAAACTTGGTGACGGTGGTGACACTTGAAGGTTGGGCGCTGTAGCCATACAGGTACTGTTTCACCGTCATACCACATGTATGATGAATTCGCTTATTCGTTGGCGCATGCTGATGCTGGTAACGAACCACAGCCGGAACCTGGTATGAATATTCTTGTTCAGACCATTCTGTCCGGTACGGAAGAGAGGAGAACTGTTGTCCGAGATTCTTTGCCACAGAGGTGGGAGGTTGTCTGATTCATGCCTAGGCAAACTAGACGTGGGGCCGCGTTTCTTTGACAAACAGACCCTCTCGAGCTTTCTCGTTGTATGGCAAGCTTGGAGCTGCTTAAGATCGCTTGGGAAAAAGACCTCAGCTCACGTGATCGCCCGATGAGGGGGCCAGTCTGTATTGCTTTCAAGGTGGATTCGCATTTTGATCAGGTGGCGTTTTTGGTGCAGGTTTTGGCAGGCTTGACTGACAGAGATTGGGAGGTGCTTTTTGTATAAGCTGGTGGAAAATCATGGAGTTCGTTTTCTGGCATGAGTGTTTTGGGCACAGTGCAAGCACGGTGGTTACCCAACAGTTGTGCATATATAGTTGTTTGTTTCTATACACACACACACACATATATATATATATATCTACGTATGTATATATATATATATGGGGTACCGCCCCACCCATGGATCTACGATTTTGTGGCTGGGTGAGCCCCACCGCAGGAGAACAGTAGATCCTCGAGGGGGAGGGCTAGCTGATCTGCAATTTGTGGCTGGGTGAACACCACCCCTCGGATCCCGGGTACAGGCCTTGGCCCCGGTGCAGACCGGTACAACTTGTGCCCGGGGGGATCCAAGAGTCCAAGGGAGTCCAAGATCCAAGATTGCTGCGGTACAAGTTCTACCGGACCGGGCTCCGGTATCCAAGATTCCAAGAAAAGACTCCGCAGCAATCTTGGATCTTGGAATCTTGGATCCCCCCGGGCACAAGTTGTACCGGTTCGTACCGGTTTGTAGCGGGGCCAAGGCCGGTTTCCAAGATCCAAGATCCCATATGTTGCTGGCCGTAAAGGAACCAAAGAAGGAACGAGCTTGGTCTTTGCTCCCTTCATCACATGGCGGCTGTATCCTTTGGGTCACTACCGCCCAGTCACCAGGAAGATATCTTGGAAGCACCTAGAATTTCATGGTAGCGGATGAACTGCAACCACAAGTTAATATTCTATCACCTATCTTGCCTAATGGTAAAGAAAGAAACAAAGTGAGTGAATGCATGCTTCTCTTTTGATTAAACAAAACACCACAAGAACACCGAAAAAGAAGTAATTTTCGTGTAATGAAAGAGATGATCATGGGCACTTCTCTTTGTTTCGCCTGTTTCATTTCACATCGTTGTATTAGTTTGCTCTTTTGGCACAAAGAATCAAGTCCCCAAAGTGGCTGGGTAGACCTGCCACTCGACACCGCAGGAGGTTGACAGTTCGTGGATGCGAAGTTTCTGTTCTTTCACGTTAGTCAGCAGAGTTGACGGTTTTAGCGAACCAAGTATCAAGCCCCAAGATGATGAGTTAAGTGTTATGTAGGAATGTAGGGCTCGCATTTGTGTTTAGTCCGATGAAATAAATAAAACAAAGACACGAAGTGTACGCCTGTTTATTCCAATAGAGAAAGCACATGCGATATTTCTATCGACATACAATGAAAAAAGCCACAGTAATGTAATGCAGTGAAATGAAGGGTAAAGAATGCACGCCTTCATTTTCTTTTCATTCACGATCTTTCCTCTTTTCATGTGCTTGCAGTACGCTTTTTGTTTCAAAAGGTCACATTTTTACACCTCTAGAACAACAGATACACATGCAAAAGCAAACACTGATGGAACAAAAGTGATGGAGTGACGAAAGAAAGAAAGCATGCTTTGCTTCCTGTTGCTTTTCTCTTTACAATTTTTCTGTGTTTTCTTCTGTTGAGTTGTCTTCCTTTATTTTTCGTTTATGCCTTTCGTTAATAGTATCTTCTCAATTCATGCCCCTCATGTTCGTAACAATAAAGCCACGCATACGCTTCATTTCATTTCACCCCTTTGTTTCATTTACATTAAAATTTAAAATGGGGCATTGGTTGCCCACTCCCACAAACCAAGAGCTGTGTTTCAATGAAAAGAACGCGCATCGCACATGCTTTCGTTTGCTTCTTCTTCCTTAAACCACAGGCCATCCAAAAGCCTCGCCTTTCGCGCTTAAATCATGCATTCACTTTGTGTCCTCATATTTAACGAGAAAGGTCAACGAACATACTCTCGTTATAGGATTAGCCTCTAGACCTCGAAAGAGAAATTAAGACTAAGGGATAAAGGACAAACAACATGAACATGTGATGGAATCCTAAAGTCGACATCATCCACAAAATGTAGTGTTAGATATAGGTCATAGGATGTGCCGTGAAAGTTGAATCCGTTATCATTTCGCTTTGTGTGTGCCCTCTTAGATGACAAAATCACGCATGCACTTAGTTCCTTTGTATTAATTCAAAATTAAAACGCACCGCACAAAAGGTCAGACCAAAGCAAAGAAAAGAAAAGAGCGCGCGTCTGTTTCTGTTCGCTCACCGCTTTTACACCTGCTAGTCTTGTTTCCTTCTTTGGGTGTAATTGTAATAGCGTCAAAATCATGCATGTCCAACCTTTTGCATTCTCGCCAGTTCCTCTGCTTAAAAGATAAACCTTGCTGTCTGTTTGCTGCATCTGGCTCTCCAACACACGAAAACAGTAGATCCTTGAGGGGGGCGGTTGCATACATACATATATATATGCATATGTATACATACATACATACATACATACATACATACATTCCCTCATATGTATATCATGCCATATCATGTCATATCATATCCGTCTGTGACGATGTGCTGTTGTGGCCTCTATTGGTTCAGTTCAGCACTCCAACATGTCAAAGAGAGCTTCACCTGTCACAGCTCCAACAAGACTTGTTACAAGCAGCCACATCGCACGCCCTAACCATGCAAAATTCTTTGCGTTCCCCTAGGATGAGTCAGCCGCCATGCAAGTCAAAGTGCGAACACTGGAAAGAGGTCTTTCAATTGATTCGAGCCCGACTGCTCATTCCGTCAGAAATGGCAGTCCGAATGCGAAGTCACGTCGGGAAGATCTGACTTCGCCAGACTTGAGGATAGTTCGCTTTGCAGTCGTCTCTCGAGTAACGGTGATCGCCCTATCCGTTTTGTCGGACTGGATCATCCCAGATCACAACCCCGATACTTCGGTTGAAAGGCTGTCGACATCTCGATGGCTCATGGCCTTCACACGATGGGATGCTGCTCGCTTCACGACGATTGCCTTGGAAGGCTACCAGAAAGAAGAGGACTATGCCTTCATGCCAGTCTTGCCTATGGCCATGTCGATCGGTACTCGGACCCTTGGCATCCTCGTGCCCCACATCGGGCCATCTGCAACTGTAGCAATAGGCTTAGTTATTACGAACTGCTGCTTTGTGCTTGCTGCGTGGTTGCTCTACCGGCTGGGCTTGCTGGTGCTGCGTGACCAGCTGCTTGCGTTTCGCTCTGCCATGGTCTTTTGCTTCTCACCTGCAAATGTCTTCTTCAGCAGTGTTTATACAGAGAGCCCCTTTGCTGCATGTTCCTTTGGCGGACTTCTGCTGCTGGAGCTCAACCGACCTTGGCTAGGAGCACTGCTTTTTGGGATAGGGACCGGGCTTAGGTCCAACGGAATACTGAACGCAGGCTTCTTGGCCTACCAATGTCTCTTCATTATCGTCCAGGATCTACAGAGAGGACACACACTGCTTCGGACGCTGGTCGAACGTTCAAGGAAGCATGCTGTGCTGATGTTAGGAGTGACATTAAGTGTCGGCCCGTTCGTGGTGTTTCAAGCGTATGCATGGCAGAAAGAGTGCTACGCCGGAGATGCTTGTGCTGAAGCTGGAGAATGTAAGCTCTCCGAGCAACCTCCGGATTGGTGCCAGGGCTCCATGCCCAGCATATACATGCATGTGCAGAAGAAGTATTGGCAGGGAGGGCTGTTCTGCTATTGGCAACTAAAACAAATACCAAACTTCGCATTGGCAGCACCTGCTTTGGCTCTGACTGCATCTGGAGTTCACCACATTCTTACCGACTTTGGCAGACAGCTGGGACGTTGGACAGAAGTGAGCTGCGAGTCCAAGCCAACCCCAAGAGCGGGCGCTGCTCTTTATCGGGCAGTTCTTGTTTGTCCTTTGCTTCCTCATGCGCTTCACTGGGGCTTCCTGGCAACTTATTTGCTTCTCTGCGCGAATGTACAGATAGCCACTCGTGTGCTGGGATCTGGGTGTCCCGTGTTTCACTGGTTCTTGGCCTCCTTGTTGTTTTCGCGGAGTCCGGGCAAGACATCTAGGCTGCTAAAATGCTACATCGGCATCTTTAATTGCCTGGGAATCATCATGCATCCTAACTTCCTTCCCTGGACATGACGTGAATGCGAAATCGCGACAGCGGAAAACACCTGCACCCCGCAACCCTTTGCAGTATTTGACATGTCAATGTAATGCATGGCTGGATTGCCGGTTGCGCAATGCAGAAACCTTGGACGTCATCGCCAGCATTGACAGATGGGAAGAAGGGAGTAGCTATCCCAGCCAGCAAATGGCCGGTCTGTCTCCAGGAGGGTTTGGGCAAAGGGATCGCTCAAATTCATTGAACACTGAAGCGCCTGAAGGGGAAGATCCTCTACCAGCCCTCGTTGCGAAAACGCCCCCGGTGCCATGGCAGAGGGATGCTCGACACAGCATGCCACATGCCTGACATGCCAGGCTTCCAAGTCTGACGCTGTTTCTCCAGTGGAGGACTGTCCTGCTTTTGTCTAGGTTTTTGCGGTCGCCGAGTTATGTGCGATTTTGTGTGTCTGAGGAGTACAGACGATTGGAGCCGTTGATCAAGCAGCCCTTGAAGGTTACATCCAATCGAAGCAAGCAAGTCATCTGATGCGACGATGAGTCTGCTAGGCTGGCTCGTCCTATTTCCTGGTCAACAGCAGATGGTGCTTCCCCTCGCAAGTTGAGACAGCTGTCGGTCTCATTCCATGTGATTCTAATCTAGGTACACTGAATGGCTTCAGTGGGTTGGCCTGGCACCGGAGATGCTCAGCCATGGCGGTCTCGAGCTTTCCCTCTTCCGAGGCCACCCGAGCGTCCAGAGCCCACAGCTCCGGCCCGCAGATCCGCCCTTAATAGACGGCCGGGTGCTTTGAGCTTCCCGCTTGGCTCACGCTTCCGAATCTGACTCCATCCCTGGCAGGGCTGGACCTCTCCCTCTCTCAGGGCGGTTCCGAAGGTCTGAGGCCGCTGGGACCTCAAACCTCCAAGCTGTCAAAGCATTGTCAAAGCATTGTCAAAGCATTGTCAAAGCATTGTCAAAGCATTGTCAAAGCTGTCGCCAAAAGCCGAGCACAAAGGCGCAGTCACTCCTGGACGAAAGATCGCCCTGGCGAGATCGACAACCGCGCGCTGCTGGAGGTGAGCCGGGAGGGCAGACAGCATCGCCTAAGTTGTGGGGTCGTCTGAATCATAGAGGTTGGTTCGACAACGGCGATGAAGCGGTCCTTGAGCGAGCATGCCGACTATGAGATAGTTCCCGAGGACATGCGTTGCAGGCAGGTGTTGGCAGAATCTTTCCGCTGGACAGTTCTTGGAGGATGCTTGGGATTTGCTCTATGAATGGTATGGTGCTGCACTCACGGATCCCATTGAGCACTCAGCTGTTTTGTTCCTTCTGTTCCCAACCTTTAGCCTTTCTTTGAGTTTCAGGTGGCGGACCTCCGATCAAGCGACGTGCAATTCGAGAGGCTCAGGGCGGCGTGATGGTGGAGCTCTTTGGCCTCTCCTTGAAGGCAGGCAACTTCGTCTTCATGTAGCGGTAACGGCTCGGCAAGGGCGGATACTCCACCCAACTCCTTGAGGCGTACCGATCTTCTGATATGAATGGCTTTCCGAAGGAGGTGCTGGCGAGGGGAGGGAGCAATCTGCGCGGAGTCTGCGGATGTTCACGCAGATTATCGAGTCCAAGTATGCGACTATCAGGGAGCTGAAGGCAAGGGGAGAGCCGAGTCTTCAAGATGCTCCCAGTCCTACGTCGCCCAGGAAAGACTCTGCGAAGAGATGGAACTTGATGCCCGAGACGTCCCTCGGCTAGAGTCTGGCTAAGGGTTGCTGTTTCGCAAGGTTTCCATATGTTTCCATGCTCATCAGATGTTAGGTACGCATCTGGGATTATTTCGACAACAAGCCCTTTGCTTCATTGGAAGAGGACTTGGAGATGGCCTCAGTGGAAACTCTGGGATTTTGCCGTCTTAGAAAGGGCCCCTTAGACACTGTCATAGTGAGGATGGCTATCTACATGACAAGCGGATAATGGACAACAATCCGATTCTCCTCGAAGAGCGAGATGCGAACGGCGAGTTCACCTTTGTAAAGGCTGGAGCATCAATCTATGTGACAGGCAGACGCAGTGAATGGCGACTGACGTCTGAGGACATGCAGACGTCCAGTCAAGCAGCGGCTCTGTGCTTATTCCCGTGCTTTAAATGCTTCAGATCATGTCCAGTTTGACACTCCAGCCTGCCAGGCTGTGACCTCAAGTGGATCCGGATACTATTCCTCCTACAATTCCTACAGCTCCGCAGACGTGCCCATGGATGCAGTCTCAGAAGATCACTCAAAACGCGCGCTCAGAGCCTGAGCTGTGCTTAGCGCATGGCTCTTTCTCGCCGAGGTCGGGGAACCGATCCAGAGAGGAGCCGTTGGCCTGCAAAATCTTGGCAACACCTGTTTCATGCCGCTGCCCCGGTACTCCATCCTCCCTTTTTTCAATGCCAGCGACACAGCTGGCGGAAGGGAAGGGGCTTGCGGGTATTGGGCTTGTAATGGCTCAGGAACAGCTCCATCCAGTGCCTTTCCAACATCCCTCAGCTGAGGGAATATTTCCTGGATTTGGACAAGGAGCGGTAAACTAGGAAACACGCAACTCTGAAACCATCGGTTGCCTTGGGCTGTGCAGAGGAGCGGCTCAATCGCACCGCGCACAAGACGCAGGGCAAGCTTGCTGAGTCCTTCGCAGATTTGCCCACGACTCAATGATGCCTGAAATGCTTTCCGATTTTCTGTAGGTGGCTTCGAGATGGGGGTGCTTAGTTTCTTGACATTGTGAGGTTGAAGATGATGTGGAGAGAAAATACTGCGAAGGCTGGTCTGGCGAATACAGGTCTGATCGCAACGTCCTCCCTATCCTCCGGTGCGAACCAGGTGGCCCCAAGAAACTTCAAGTATCAGGCTGGGTGCACTTCTGAGAGCAGAGAAGTAGGTGGCACCTTGCGAAACTCCAAAAAAATTCCCCTTATGGTTCTTATAGAGGAACCTATTCATAAAGACATTTGAGGGCCCTAAAAATAACAACCCAGATAATTGCTATTGTTGCTCCAGGTTGGCCAGTTCGCCGAGCAATTCAGCGGGTATGGGCAGCAGGCAATGCAAAAAAGCTTACGTCGAGAGGCTTGAACATGTACTGCGAGCTGGCATGCTGTCGTCAGGATTCTATGGAGCTCATAGAGTATGTGCTGGATGGTTTGAAAGAGGCATTCCACTGGTAGCCCTGCTTGGTGCTGGTGATGTCGACATTCTGTCCAGGACTGCAACAGTGTCCAGGGTCCCAAGCCGTACATCGAATTGAAAGAGGCAAGATGACAGAATTGCTTTCTGCATTGCAAGCGACTGTCAACTTGCCACGCCTCCTCCGACATGCGACTAGCAGCTATCGCCAATCTGTTTGAGCAGAGGCCGACATGCCGAACTTGGATCTGCTGCAATGCTACATGCTCCATGTGCTATTCCTGACATGCATATCTCGACAAGGCTTAACCCAAGTTTTCATCACTCGCCGGACTGGCATGTTCGGGGTCTTCGAATGGTTTTCTTGTGTCCGCGGACTGCCTCGTCGCAAATCTGATATGGGCAAGGGCTCCAGAATGAAAGGCAACGTCGTGTATGCCGCAACACATACGAAGATGTTACGTTGCCGACGGCTTAATCGCTGCACTGCTGTCGCGCCAAGCCTCCTTTGTACCGGGCAGTGTGTCTGTCAGTCGTTAAGCTTTCTTTCACTAACGGTGATGTGGCGTTGGGGCCAAAGTCGAAAACTGAAAAGTTGCACGGAGTAATGCACTTCAGAATGGGACAACAAGAATACTCGAATGCTTCCTGGAAGCAACAGAAACATGTCGATTGCTTCGAGAGGGAAACATCATGTTCGATCTTTTATAACAGTGTAGCATCAAACGAGTTGCACAAACGAGGGCAGCCAAGCGAACCAAGCGTCGTGCTACCCCAGCCTTCCTATGGGACTAGGGCACCCAACACAATTCCATCCACCACCGCCGCCGCCATCACACTGCCACGGCCGCCGCCATCGCCACCGCCTCCGTCACCACCCTATACCACCCTCATCGTCGTGAACATCATCATCATCATCACCATCATGATCATAGTTATCGCCATCACGATCACGGCTTGCAGCATGACGTTCGATGCTCTGAGTACGCCGCAATTGAACAAAACGCAGCACCACACCGGGTGGTGAAGCAAGCACCGGCTGATTCTCTGGATCCTGAGTATCAGAAAGCCTGCTCAAAAGGCTGACGGAAGGCCCGACGAAGAGGTCGCGCGGGAAGCGTCGGCGCCTCTAGGAAGAGCTGTTTCTATATTGCTGATCTGGCAAGTCTCGCATGTGCTCCCAGGTTAGCTGCCTATCGCCAGCGCAACAGCTCCAGAGTCGATGATCTCTTCGTCGGCCTTTTCAAATCGGTGGTGCGATGTCCGGAGAAAGAGTGCTCTCCTGAGATTTTGCAATGCCATGCTCATGTTCTCAAGGGAGACTGCCCCTGAAGGTGTGGACGAGTGTCGGTGACGTTTGACCCGTTTCTGTCCGCGAAGCTGTCCTTGACGAGCACGGCTGGAACCCTGGATCTCCTTGGATCACCTCCCCAAAAAACAGACGGCATCTATTGCGAGGTGTATGTACCAGGAAAGTGGTCAAAGAAGGGCATGTTCGATGCGGTTGCTTCTCTTACATGTTGCAACGGGAGGGGATTTCAACAACAGGGGCATGGTTCCATGTTATTGATGCTGCTCACTCGGTGATGCGTTTTTCCTTGCTCGTTTTGCGTCATGAATGTGTCATTATGTCGAGTTGTCAACGCTACGTTGTGCGTTTGAGTATACGAGACATCCGCCTGAATTCTCAGTGGAGCTTTCAGCTGACAAAGGCGCGTCGAGGCCCCCTCCACGGGAAGTGTGAGTATGGAGTTTGCCCGTTTGATGCCATTTTCTTGCCGCCGAACCGTGCCAAGCGCTGTCGCGAATCTTCACGGGCAGATGGGCCTTGAGGTGTGTTCTGGTTTTACTGCTTACCCGAGTTGTGCCCT